TGGAGCCATTCAGTTGCATATACTCCATGCTTCATTGTGGATTTAAAACAAACAAACAAAAACTCAGCTATGTTTCCAGAACAATGAAATTGCACCCCCCCCAGCATAATTTTAGTTCCTTCCTTGTATAGGCGATTGAATATGTCAGTGTAAATAACACTAATGTTAGCCCCCACCCCCCACTGTACAGCTGTCTTAAGCCCGGCACTATGGTCTGCCATAGAGTGAGCGGATAGTTAAATGGGGATATTTATCTTGCTGTGGAAATATATTAATTAATTGCTTATGCTTGTTTAAATAAACTTTTGTTTTAAAAACTGTAAAGTTTTTTTGTACAGATCAGTAACTCTTTCCATTGCACTGTTACCACTGCCGTGCTCTACTTAGGAAGGAGACTGCTTTGGTTGTGACTGACTACACCCGGGGTAATGAAGACGGCAAAGATTCCTCCTGTAAAAGTTGCAACTAGAGTGCTCCTGGGCGAATTGTGTAAATAAATGGCTGTTGTGACATGACACAGTCGAGAAGCCATGGTGGGTGTAAATGGAAGGCTCGAGTATTAGGAGTAAATGTTCCAGTGCAACAACCTGCGCGAGCGGGTGTGTGTGTGGGGGATTTGCCCCCATTTGCTGTCGAGCTGTAACTTCATGCAAGCAGTTCTCGACTGACACTGTCTCATCCCTGCGAAACAGAAATCTGCTCCCTTATTGGGAGCCTTGAGATATGCCTACCTCTTCTCTGGTTTCACTTTCCCCTCCCCATTGTTAGCAGGTATGATTGTACTGCCCTGACCTCTGTGTACAGCAATTACAGCTTTGAGGCTAAGCTCTTTTAGTGGCTTCTGTATATCTCTGTAAATTGGACTTCAGTAGAATCCTTAAACTTTAGTGTCCCTTCTAATGTTTACCTCGTTGTGCTGAGGGGTGGGCTAGTCGATTTAAAACCCAACAGGTTTGCCCACCCTGATAAATCTGCCAAGCTAGGAATTCTGTTCATTCTTTGATGTGTGAAGGTTGAAGACTGCCATCTAGCAAACTCCCCACGACTCTTACATCTTGGGTTAAATTTAGGAGTCCCTCTTTCATCCTGCATACATATTAAGAATCAAGTTTTTACTGTGATAAATAACTGTAAATGACCACTTGCTTATAGGTCTAAAATGTTCACCATCTTCAGTTGATTTGAAAGAAATCCTGTGAGTTTTATAGAGATGAATATATATGGCAATTTTGCCTCTTTATAAACTGTCTTTTCACCCAAAGTAGGACTCCAGAACTCTCCTCTACCCTCTTCTTGCTGCCTCGAGTATTTTGTTGAATTGAAAATTATTAGATTCAATACAAATTATGTAAGTGGTTGACCCACAGCCATGGATGATTCCTGCTTAGTCTAGTTTTCAGCTAAAAAGGTACTTTTCTAACTGTTGGACATGCATTCATTTTTCAAACATTAAAAAAACAATTAGAGGCAACTTTGTGTGGATTTTCATTCAGGAATGTCCATTTTAAAACATTAGGAACACAAATATGAATTTGCAATGAGGGACAGAGGAGACCTGTGCTTCAACAGTGGAAGGGAAGGTTCATTGCTAGGAGAGCTTGCACCATCTGAGCACAAGGTCTTCTGGGATCACAATTCCTACAGCCAGTTTGGCATATTATTTGAGCTGGTAAATGTAGTTCCAGATAAGAGATGCTGTAGAATCTGACTGGAGCCTCCTTTCTGGTGATTTCGTTAGAACAATATGAAAGGGGGGAGGGAGATATTAAATTCATCAGATCTGCCTGGAAAATTTAATGGAATTGGAGTTATTAGAAACAGTAATAACATGGGAATAGTATAAAAACACAAACAATAGAAAGTTAATAAAATTAGTAACATAAAATAATGTTAAAAGGAGAATTATGCAATTTTTTCTGCTAAAATAAGTTTACATTTCCTAGTAGCTAAGCAACAAAATTTGGCCACAGCGTAAGTCACGGAGCTCTGAACATCTTCTAAGAGGAATTTACGAAGGACTTCTGGCCTGAAGTCAAGATAAGACTGCAGAGGGCTATATCTAGACAGAAGGGGACTGGAGCCTTCTGTATTACTTGTGCGTGACTTGTATCCAGTTTAGATTAGGCATGGGTTGGTGTGAGCCTGGCTGTCTGCAGGAAGGAGCAGCAAAGCTTGCAAGGTAGGATTCAGGCAATATTGGGTTAATGTGACAAGGCAGATAGAATAGACCATGAACTGAAATGCAGACTGACTTGCAAGGCTTTCCACATTTTCCTTGCTTGTGTGTTCCTGTTGCTTTGGGGTTTTTCTGTGTTTTGCTCCCTCTAGTGGTTGATTTGGTATTACATCTGTTTATGTGCAGCATAGCTCCCTGCAGATTTAGATTGCAGGGTGTTTTGCTGGACATAAAGGGATGTAATATCGAATCAACTGCTAGGTAGACTAAGACACATGCGGAACAGACCCCCCCCTCCCCCAGCAACAGGAACACACAAGCGAGGTAAGTGAGAATGTGGAAAAGCCTTAAGTAGTTCTTAAATAATTTATAGTCTACCTTTCTCACTGGTATCCAAGGTGGATTACAGCTAATTGAAAATACCTGATCAGTAAGCTGCTTTGAGTGATTCAGGTGTGTTCTATACAATGCCAGGTGTTAAAAACAAATAGCAGTAGTGGGCTGATATGCTAAGTGTCAAGGAATCTATTATTTTTGCATAACTTTAATAAAACTACGTTAATTATACAACACAGTGATATCTCTAACACAGTGATTACATATCCTCAGGAACATAGGGCATATGCTTTTTTTTAAAAAAAGTACACTCTTCCACTTTTACCCCACCATGTGATTTGTAATGAGACGGGGGGCACCAGGCAAGTAGGCAGTGTTTGGTGTTCAGAGAAAATGAGTCACAAAAGGTGTGCCTAACACAGCTCTTATTGCTGGCCTTCACTTAGAACAGGCCACTAACACAAGGATGAATTGCTTTAGTGATGTTCTGTGTACTGATATGCTTTGGTTGTTCCGTTAAAGCTGGAAGCCATACGCTTTTCATTGCAGGCTTTTGTGATGGTGGGAATATCAAGTTTTCAGGGAATGCAGCTACTGCCATTAGTCTCTTAAAAGTGACTTCCAGGTCTGTGGCCTTTAATTGGTGTTAAGGATTAGATTTTTTTGTGTGTGTGTGTGGTTGCACTAGAAATGGAAATGAACAATGTACCAGCTGACTTTCTTGGGAGGTTAAAACCCTGTGTGCTTAGTTTCAGAATATCCATGTGGTTTAGAATGAAGCGAGTCTGTGTCCCCACACCCCCAACCAAATTTTTGTTTTGGGGTTAGTTGGGGGGGGGATAACTTACAGGCTAGGGAGGATGGGATCGGGAAGTGTCAAATACGTGATGGTGGTGGAAGGACTTCTGTAGTATTTTCATATTGTACGCAATTTTGGTGCCCTTTGGAATAGAAGAATGGGACAAAAATTGTCTAAACACTTCCCCTGTTGCTGAGAGTTGGTGAAAGGGGGTGCACAGATCCTGCCCCCTTCTGTGTTTTTGTTCAAGAACGCTGCTTGACTTTTCTCCTTACCTGCCAAAATAGTACCTACAGTAAACTGCTGCACTTAAGACCCTTTAGAAAGGGGCATGTGTATGCTTGACCCAGTTTCTTTCCCCTTTGAGTATACTGGGGCCAGTCCATTGAATGGGAGCACAGAAATTTGCAAGCAGTTTTGTTGCTGGCATGCCCTGCCTGTAAGGAATGCTGCAGACCCCACATCTTGTCTAGGTAAACTGGGGGTGGGAAGACTTGGGGGAGCTTCTTAATTTAGGCAGAGTGTAATCCAGAGGCCCAGTATAGCTATTTATAAAACTTTAAATGGTTTGGAGGAAGCCCTCTCCCCCTTTCATTCCATGCAAGTGACAGCAGTATTTATTCATTTATATCATGCCTTTTTGCCCAGTTGGGACCTATGTTCCCTCTAAGCTGTGTAGTCTTGTGAGCAAAAATTCTACTGTGTGAGTTACTGGCATTAAAGTTGTGAGCGAGCAATTTGGCTGCTGCATAAATTAGTTTGCTCTGGAGCCCTCCTTCCTGAGCTGAGACAAAAATGTATGAGCTGGAGGCTAAAAAACTGTGAGCTAGCTCACACTAACTCAACAGAGGGAACACTGGTTGGGACCCAAAACAGCTTATATAGTTCTCCATTTATCCTCACAGCCCTGTGAGGTGGGTAATGCTGAGCGTGTGTGCCTGGCCCAAGGTCATCCAGCAAACTTCCATGGCTGAGTAGGATTTGGGAGACCCAGGTCCCAGTCCCAGAGCCAGTTCGGTGTGGTGGGTAAGAGCACGGACTCTAATGTGGGAGAACCGGGTTTGATTTCCCCACTCCTGCAGTTGCCGTGGCTGGTGTGACCTTGGGTCAGTCACAAGTTCTCTCAGAGCTGTTCTCTCAAGGGCAGTTCTCGAGAGCTCTCCCAGCCCCACCTACCTCACAGGGTGCCTGTTGTGAGGAGGGGAAGGGAAAGGAGATTGTAAGCCACTCTGAGACTTCTTCGGGTACTAAAGTATAAATCCAATCTCTTGGGTTTTTTCTGCCCAGTCCGGCACTCTAAACTGTGTACCCTACTGTCTCTCGGATTTAGGATGGACACAATGGTGCATTATTAATCTATGGGATTCACTGCTGCAGGGTATAGTGAAGACCTGTAAATTTCTTCTCGAGCTCTGAACCTGTAACCCATAATGACCCATGAGACTTGAGTTCAGAAGCAGCCTGTTCCTAAAGTCCGGTTGCTGGGCTGCAGGGGGGAAGGGGGGGCGAGGCTCCCGGGGGCCGCCTGGACATCACTGTTGGGAACTGCAGTGGGACGGCCGTGTTGGTCTGTTGTGACGAAATAAAAGAGGAGTCCAGGGGCCCCGAGTCTAACAAGATTTATTTCAACATGCACTTTCACGAGTCGGAGCGCAGT